TTCCCTCCCCACCCCTCTCTGTTTATTGACCCCTGTTTTGATTTGTGATTTGATGTGGATTTTTGAACTCTCATAACTGGGAATATACATGATTTCCATTTGCTCTCCCCTCCATTTATATGTGTGATATTTATCAATGCTTTGACTCAACACAGACTTTAAGCACATGCTTTAATCATGTGAGTGGCTCCACTGAAATAAGTTGACTAGTTGCATGCTCAATTAAATTTCACTGAGACCTAGTAAAAATTAATATCCTGTTACTTATATGGACATCATCCACTGCCTTCCATGGGAGTTTTACTTGATGGGTCAACAGCACAGAAGCAGGTACATATTGTGCTCATTTTCCATGAAGCACTGTATTTTAAATGTATATCATCTGTGTTTAGGCCAGACACTGCTTCTGCAGCATCAGTATATATTTATTATCGATTTCCCTGGGAGCCAGACTGAGCCATTGTTGAATTTATGCAAAACTCCCTTTGCATACAGTGGACTAATCAAGCTTTCATTTCACACCCAATTTACCAAGATATCAATGGGACTGTTGCTTCAATAGGATCCTCAGGTAGAGGGCTCCATCTTTCTCTAATATTTTTAAGTTTCAGTTGTCTAAAGGCCTTTTTTATTATTAGTAGATACCTCACTGTGTTTAATTATTTTTAAACACATATATAAACACCATGACAACTATGAAAGGTAATTAGACTATATCATGAATATGGTTTTTGTCAATGTTCAGTTGTTATTTATACAAGCATAAATAGAGTATCTTAAATTAGTCACTAGAACTTACTGCTATTTTTTATCCTATTAATGCAGACAGACACACCGATTTTTCTTCAGATATTATAATAAAGAAAGTCTTGATTTAAACTAGTGGATACCTCAGAAAATCAATGCTTTATTTTATGTGGCTTCCACAAACTTTCACAAGCTTTCCTGATATAAACATATTTATTGAATTGGGTCTGAAGACATTTTATGACAAGTTTTAACACAGAGGAAAAACTTCAGGCTTGAGGTTAGATGTTTTGGATCTGATACTACAATGGGTGTAGTACCAGAACTTGAATAGGCTAAAATAATGCTTAGTGCTTAAATGCCCAATTTGGTTGTGTTTTGTAAAGAAGAGTGTTACTCCACTGAGCACTTCCATGTAGATAAAAATTAAAGGAAGATATGAGATTTCTGTTTCCTATATGTACATGACAGGCACCATGCCACTGTTTAACCTAGCATAGGAGATTCTAGCTGCTGGTAGAGGTGGCCAACCCTTATGCACGCAGCTCATAACCAGCCAGATGAGTGTTGAACTGATTGGTTCCTCTGAATAACCGCATCACTCACTAGTGGGACACTTTCATTTTATCTACCTATTTCTGTGGCTTTGGAGATGAACTGGATCCTCTTGAGAGGAAGATCAGGAGCTGTGAAGGAGGTGCATAGTATCAGTTATTCCAGTTTGTCAAAAACATAGTTTCACAAAGCACACGTTTGAAGTGCCCAAGGGAGCTACGTTTATTGTTGTTAGTGGTTCCAAGACTATGCAGTACAGTTTACCAAGCAGAGAGGAGATACGAGGTAGAGTCCACCCTCTGTACAGGATTACCGTATTTACCCAAATCCAAGACAACTCCGAATTTAAGGCAATCTCCAATAATTAGATTCTATACATGAAAAAGTTATAAATTGATTAATCATTTTCCATGTATAGAAACTAATTGTTGGAGAGTTATCTTTAATACATCCTCCCCTACTGTTGCAGTGGGGAAAGCAGTGGCCAGGGAACAGGTGGTAGGCATAGGTGATAGAGTAAACAGTGGGGGGGGGGGGGCAGGCAGACAGTAGGGGAGATGGAAAAAGGGGAGGCAGTGGGTGGCAGGTGGTGGGGAAGTGGTAGGGGAAGCAGTGTGGGGGCAGGGAATGAGGGAGCCAAGCAGCCTGACCCTTACCATCTGTCTCTCTCCCCCCTACCACACACACACACACACACACACACACACACACACACACACACATTGTTGTACCGCTGTTGCCTGCCCTCCCATGCCTGTCCCCTGGTACTCACCCCACCCCCATGCCTGCATCCTCTAGCACCTGTGCTTTCCCTGGTGCCTGGCCCTCCTTGCTGCCTGCTCCCCCATCACCTCTGCCCCCCACATCTGCCCTACCTCACCATTTCTCCCCTACAACCTCTGCCTCCTTGTCTGTGCCCCCTTCCCAGGGCCCAACCAGAGCTGCCACTGCCACAACAGTTTTACCAGGCCAGGGCCAGAAAACCATGTGCTCCATGCCCCAGGTTACAGCAAGCCTGGAACCCTGCCAGACCTGGAAGGTAAGCAGCCAGCAAAGGACAGGTGTAAGGACAGATAACTGGTGGGGGAGAGATGAGGGGATTGGGGACAGGGGTGGGGCAGGCAGGATCTGTGGCTCCCGCAGCAGCCATGTGCTCCCTCACCCCCTGCCATGTTATACTCAAATCCAAGATGAGGGACTTCCTCCCCTGTGTTAAATGTGGAAAAACACCTCTTGAATTACAGTACCTGTGGTAAATCCAGGGTAACTCCACTATCTTCAGTAATTTTACTAAGCTAAAAGATATACACCATGTAACTGAGAAGAATGTGGTTTCCTAGTCACTATTCCCAAAAGCCTGCAACCTGTAGCTTTTATTCTGCAAACACGTAAGTATGAGTATTCTTACTGATGCTCTCTTAGGCAGTTTTAAGGCAAAGGCAAGATAAGAAATATGGAGAACAAGGGTCACAATCAGGATCCTAAGATCACTTTTTGTCCTGTGTAACAACAGATAAGAGAACAGCTGTATCACCTCAATAATCAGTGTATGCATTTTGTTAATTTCTAACTTTTGTTCCTGTTGTTTTTAGGAAATAAAATTCAATATTGAGGCAAAAATTATTATTAATAAAAGATTATAATTATGTGTCATTACAAACTTGCTTTCATCTTTACTGAACTTTAGGAACTGCTTACAATTATTTTCATAGATGTGACACTTAAGGAACACGATAGCTAAGATACACTTTTAATTGGTTGTTTATTATATGAAACACAATCTTCATTCCAATCCAAGAAATTCCTAAGAAATCTCTGCTTTTTGTCTGTCAAGCAGTGTCACCACAACTGCCAAAGATGAGGACACCTCTGTAGCCATTAAGTCATATCCATTTCCTCCAAATAGCATGGCTCTGGGTTATAACTTCTGCTTTGCTTTCAGTTTCTATGCTATGTTCTTTCATGCTACTTTTTAAACTATGTGTATAAGTATTAGTTATTGTGATCCATGCCTTATATAAAGACATGTTTGTTATATGAGTCTTTGTCCTGTTTTTATTTGGTTGAAGGCTAAAAGTTGTAAATGGATTAGAAATGGTAGGTTGTAAATCTTAGAAGCATTTGGTCAAAAGTCAAACAACCAGCAGGAA